GGGGGGGGGGGAAATTGACAACAGTGAATTTTTTGTATTTCTAATTTTTTCATGCATGTTATATTCTGTGGAAGCTTGCTTAGAACTTGAAGCTAACTTAGGCCTTTCTCCACGTCAAAAATTCACTCTCTGAATAATAAGAAGATGGGGTATCAGGGCATTAAAGGTGCTGGGAAACACCGGTGCAAATTGAAACTCGTGTATTATAATGTTTTTCTACTCTAATATCTCCAGTGGAAATTCTGTGCTCTAGTCGCCGTGTAGTTCACATTTCGTTAACATTTCAAAAGTAATCGTTTTGAAACACTGCCTTCTATCGGGACAAATTTATTATTACATGAAAAAATATCCTGATATCCGACTTTCGGTATCTTCTATCCTAAAGGATTCGAACCGTGTCCAAGGATCGTGCTTTTCACCCTGTCAAATACTTGGCAAAACCCCTCGCGTTTCGCCTCGCCCGTATTACCAGCATTTTGGCAAACAGCGGTGGGGATCGATATTTCTGGCAAGCGTTCTATTTTTCGACGGCCTGGCTCGCCCTTCCCGACGTCTGATGCTCGGCATTTTTCGACGAACGACGACGCCGATAGCCCGGAAAGATAGCCACGGTGTCGAAATCGCCTCGGTGGCATCGCTCTCGCGACAATAACCAACCCCTGGCTTCTTGCCTCGAAAATTTATATTTCTCGTGGGCGACAGCCGAGACAGCGGAAGGAAAACAGCAGTGGCAATAGCCTCCTCTCCGCGCCTCGAGCGAATCATTCGCGGAACGAGGGTCAATGTCGAGGCTGCCTTTATTCCGCTGGTCCCTCACCAACGATTTCATAAAAAGAAATATATATATATATTTTTTTTTTGTAATATTTATGCGGCTGGCGGAGTCCCCTCCAGAATTTACAGAAACGTGGCAATAGAAAGGCGGATTGACAAATGGAAATCGATGTAACGATATCAAGTTTCTCAATAGCGAAACAGGTCGAAAGCAGCAGGTGAAACGGAGTACAGAACGGAATTTACGATGGCGTACATGTATCACCTATATATATATAAGTAGTAATACCCTCTTAAGCGTCCATAGTCGGGACCGAAAGTTGACAGTTAAGAGGGGTGGTGTATTCTGCGAATTGACACCGAAAGAAAGAGTGGGGATGAACGTCAATTATATTACCGATATCAGTATCGTTTACTATATTATTTAATTGTAAAGAAATTTAAGTAGTAATACCCTCTTAAGCGTTCATAGTCGGGACCGAAAGTTGACAGTTAAGAGGGGTGGTGTATTCTGCGAATTGACACCGAAAGAAAGAGTGGGGATGAACGTCAATTATATTACCGATATCAGTATCGTTTACTATATTATTTAATTGTAAAGAAATTTAACATTTTATTTAAACTATTGTAAATTTAATTACACACGTACTTTTAAAATAAATAAAGCAATAATTATCAAATAATTGTAATTAAATTTATTGAAATTCCTACGAAAGTAGTTGTTAATCGATAATTATCAATAATTGAGTGGAAACCTTGAATAAAAGTGTTGTTACATTTTCATTAATGTTAAATTAACGTATCAATATTAAAAATGTTAAAAATAGTAAAAATTGGATATGTATTTGTTATTTAATATAAAATTTGTCTAACTTTAATCGATATGTGTCCGAGACAATCATAACGACGTCGAAATATTGGTGTCATATCGTTTGTTTTGTTTCGTGTTTCACACTGCCGCACGGTAAGATAGCGTAGAGTGGGGATAGTCCCAATTGCAAGAATTGGTGGGGATAGCGACGGACGCTTAAGTGGGCATTACTGTACTACAAACTCTAGCTTCCATTTTCTTTAATTTCTTCGATATAAAAATACAACATAACTGATCAGTCTTAATTAATAGTGAAATTTAACTCTCTTATTTCAACTCCAAATTTTCGAATCGAGTAAGCTACTTCCTCTCAATTTTACACCAAATTGTTAGTCGTAAATTCGAGCAACCTTCGCGACGTAAAAAGTGCTCGTGAACGCGTCTCGTCCACGTAGGAATAGTGTGAGCAATCCATGATCGGTATCATGATTCGGGGCTAGTATTCGAGAGAAGACGCGACGGGAGAAGAGATACTTCGCCAGAAATTACGATCTCCCCGTGGAGATGGCGCTTCCGGCTCGGCTGTACGTAAGCCATCTGTCTGTAAGAAGACACCAACAGCACGTATGTAACTTCGTAAACTAGCCTCGCATTTCTAACGATTTATTATAGCCACTGCACACGTACGCAAGATATTGGGAAAGCGTCGAATCGAATGCATCTTGTATGATCTACGGTTTAACGTGAAATAAAATTCCACTGAAAAACTCGAATATCTTTGCAAGTTCAATTTGATTCTGAATATATAAAATGTTTCATAACATTTTCAATTTTGTGTAGAAAGTGAAATCTACTGTTAAATTGTGCGCAAAACTGATAGATAACGAAGACAAAGATATCAATAAGCCTTGTTTTGTAATTCTCAATTAGCATCGAACACAAGTTTCACATCGACAGAAATATATTATTTCATATACCGGATGAGTCATCTAAGATTAGAAGCTGAAATATTTTCGAAACAATTAATTGCATCGAAAAATGTTGTGAAACTAAAGAAGATATGACGAAAACACAATGCAATAGCTATGTTAGCAAATGATGAAAGAACCATTATTAAATGTAGTATACTTTAATGTAGTGGGGAGATCGATGCAGTGGAGGGGGTAGCGCTAGCAATTAGGAGAGTGGGGGTAAGGATCCGCGGACCGCCAGAGCGTACCTTTTAAGACATAAAATACGAGCGTACGATTATGTGAATGTGTAAAGCACGTATAAAAACAGAGATTTTAACGGTGAGATTTTGGATAGAGTGTAGCGAGTCGTGAGAGTGAGAGTGTGCAGATCTTGAGGGAATTATAGAGAAGGAGTCGTTTAAGAAAACTTAATATCTCTTCGTCATCGCCGTATTCGGACTTCTGCTCAATTTCCCTTAATTCCTAGATTAATAAACTATTTGTTATCAGCGTTGTTTAAATTTCTCCCGAAATATTGAGGATGCAAAAAATGAGCATCTTCTCATTTTGATTATATCTATACTTGCGTCACTGTACTTTATATTCTCCAGTATCGGTAAGTCCTCCTGAGTCCAGCGAGAGAACTCATAAATTTTTTTCACACGAGCGGCACGAACCAGTTTTCACGAGCCGGAAATTCATTGCCTGTGCACGTTCGTCTGCTGAATATGTCGGGCCCACTCGCGGGAAATGCGTGTATGAATGTTATATGACCGAATGCAGTTCGATTCGATCAGCTGCGAGTTTAAATGGACGAGAGGGGCGGGATCAGTTTAAGCGGAAACATTCCTTGAAATTATGGATGGATACTGAAATGGATGTCACGGGTAATGGGATCGTCGAATCTATTTCGATTGGCGAATTAGTTTCAATTGAATATCCATCGTCAATACATATCCGATTCGAGAATTGGACGAATCGTTTCGATCTGGAAACTTCGAATCTTCGAATCTTGAAACATCACCATTCTTCCAATTTCTCAACGATTCTTCGACCTAGGCTCGGAGAACTCTTCCAAGAGTTTTTCCCCAATAAATGACAAACGCGTCGAGTAACAATTTGCTTGTTTTGTTCGCAGCTGGTGGGCGGCGAATTCGACATGGAGCTGAACTTCGTGATTCAAGACGCGCAGAATATCAGGCACATGTTGGAACTGCTCGATCATTGCCCGCCCAATCTCCAGGTAAGCAATGGGCGTAACGTTCGCCTCGATCAAACTAATTATCCGAGGGGTCGGGGGACGGGGGCAGGTGTTACATCTAGCCGCAAATTTGATTCCACGAAGGAACACATCGATCGATCGCTGCGATCAATACGTCAAACGTGCCCGCAATTAATTTCTTGCTCGCGCGCTAATGTGCCGGTCACTTTCTTTGTCACATTATCGTGATTCGAACGTGGTGAAATTCTACTCAAAATCCTATCAAATCTATCCAAAAAAAAAAAAAAAAAAAAAAAAAAGAGAAACGAAAATTTACATGGAGAGTATCTAGAAAAATTAATAATAAACTCCGTGTTATGTCTCGAATCTTTGAATCTTGAAATATCACAACTCGCGGGGAAAAAGGAAAAAAAGAAGTTCA